TTTTCGTTTATAAAATTCTGTTGTTCTCAATTTTTTAATTTTATTACCTCGTCTCCATAGTTACTATTTGCAAATAGTCAATAAAATTGTAGGTCCATTTTATTGTTGTTCTTTTTACGCGCCGTTATAACACATTTTCATCTCGTCATTTAATTTCTGTTGTGCATATATTGTTGTATGTTTATTACAAAAAAATTATTACAAAAAAATGGTGCAATAATCATTAATTGTCAATTTCGTTATTAAATACTATACAAAATACAAAATAAGTAGCACCATTAAATTTATTTAAAAAACTGGCTATCATGAAGTTATTTTAAAATTTGTAAGTTCAACCATTTGGTTTCCTATAGCGAACAAAATAAACAAACTTCCTCTTATATATATATACGTTACAGTGAACGTATATATACATTTTTTTTTTACCCTGGCTGCAGCATTTCACATAACATGCATGTTATTGTTATCCTGCACACAATAATACTTTTCCCGTCATCAAAATGTTGCATATTTCATAAATTGTTTGGTTTTGTAACTATTATAACGCTGTTATATCTGGAACAGATTTTATTATTGTGACTTTGAAGTATTACATCGTAAACAAGTCGAATCTTGTTAGATCTTGATACATGTTTATATTGTTATTGTGCTCTTGACCAGTTTCCCATGTTAAGCAGAACTAGTTACCATGGGAACGATGAAAGTTACATTGTAAATAACAAGTCTTGATATGGTTTTGTATTTTTAAGACTAAGCTTTGTTACAATTTGTTCAACCATAAAGTTTCTGAACAGCTGAGTTTGTTATCAGACTGAACGTCTCAATCATTTTTGCTATACTAAATTACTAGCACATTTTAAATACTTTTGTGATCTAGATCACACTCGTTTATAAATAGTTACTCGTGTAACCGTAATCGCACAGTTACAGAATTGCTGGTAATATGATTCTGATCACTATGTCACATTTTCTTACTTTAGGTATGATTTGTATGGCGGATATATAGGCTATGGTCCTCCAAACTGGACGGACAAAGATGAAGCAGTACGTTATCTTCTTGGTGCCACGGCTTACGAGGTATACAAAATAGCTAAGAGTTATCCATTAAGATTATCAGTTTTCAGAAGTGTAGCGAACTATCAACATTATGTAAATGTAGTTCATGTCTGTGGGTATTATTATGTACTGTGTTTTCACTTAGAAGATTGTTTTTTTTG